CCGAGCCACGTTTGTAACGCCGAGCATCGGGGGTTAAAGCCAGGTATAAATCCAACAGCACAAGCTTTCTCACTTCCTGCTGCTATTGCTCCGACCGCTTACAACTGGCAAGAAAAATATAAGAAAGGAAGACAGAGACTGCTACTAAAGGGAAGAGAGCTGCAGAGGCAGCAGGGGGACGAAAGACAGTTGTGTCATAGCTTTCGGGGAGTGGAGTGGGGTGGAGTGGAGTGGGGTAGGGGGGGTTAAGGAATGGAAGCAGGACAGAGGGAGAGGAGGGCTTGTGGGGGTAACGGGAGAATGGGAATGCATCGATGGGGTGACCACAAGGGAAGCAGACAAATGCCTCAGCATTCAAGGGAGGGTGGGTCCACTGGGTGTTATATTTGATCAGGGTGTTATGGTAACAGCTAATTTTCTTTTTTTTTTCCCCCCCACCATGGGCATTTGAGTTGAGATTTTTGGAAATGAAGTTTCAATTTAAAACCGATATAGAAACTGTCAACCCTAAATAAATTAGGACAGCGATACTGAACACCACAATGAATATCCAATGTAAATATACTTTGTAAGAATTTCTCTCTTTTCTACTCTAAATAGAAATGGGTCAGTTCTGTGGATGGAAAAGATCAAAAGCCACTACACCGAGTTCATAATAAGCACCTCACTGATCCTAAAGATACGTTGAGTCTTCTTTGTGTGGTAATAGCTTCAACAGATAAGTGTGGTGTGGTTAACATAAGCTGGTGACACTTGAGTATGGTGTGCTTACTGGTCTGAAAATGATCAGATTTTTTTTTTCTTTTCTCATATGCATTTTACACCTACTTTATTTGAGCCTCTGATGGAAAATAGCTTTAATCTTTGACCAAATGTAGTACAAACTTATTTACAGCAGGTCTTTCTACATAATACCCTCTGGTCTGTCATCTGCATATTTTAGAAACAACTTAATACAGTAAAACTAGTCAAATGTTCTGAACACACTGACCACTAGATGGCAGCAATATACTTCACAAACGATCCTTAGTATCCGTATCAAATATGCCTCAACAGGCACCTCAGATGTATTGAGACTAGTGGTTTGAGATGATTTCTAAAGATGAGTTGTTGGAATGTATAAAAAAGGCTAGGCCAATATGTCAACGTTTTCACAATCTACATGAATACGAGAGGCCAAAATTTTAATAGAACATATTATTTGTTCTTTAAAAATATGGTCTGACTCAACACCAAATAGTTTGTAAAGTAGATTGATCATTAAAGTGTGGCTACTTTGAATCAAATACTTGCTTAAAAGCAAGAATGACCACTTATCAAAACTTGAATTCACGTAACAGTGGAGGATATTACAGTGGCAATCTGTAAAATATGTATATTTGGGCATTCATCTACCAGCTGGAGTGCCAGATGGTCTGGTCCTTGCTTCATCTGTCTTTAAGACTCCATGCACAAGAGACTGCTGAATGGAAACTGTTGGTATTTTCAGACGCTGATTGGGGAAAAGTGCCATGTTTATGCCGCCAAGACACCTTGAGTCAGACACAGTTATCATGCCAGGCCACACTATATGGCAATGTGATTTTAGCATGGCATTGAATGTATGCGCTTTGGACCCTTAGATTCCAGCACCAACTTCCACGCTCCATTTAGTGGAGCCTTAACTGAACTGTGCTTACCTACTAATGCTACTAAAACCCACAATGTCCTCATGGTGATCAGCAGAGCGTGATCATTGGCATGAAGGACTAAGACTTTAGAAACTATGAAGTTTGTACGAGGAATCTTTGATAACCCATGCAGGACAAAATGCATAAAGTGATAAAACGAGCTTTTTCTATTTCTGTGTAGTCTTATAGGCCTTTTGAAAACATGTTTGCAGTTCCTCAGAGGAAAACCAAGTGGTAAACCAAGGAAAGGGTCACGTTCTTATTGATTGCCTTGAGTGTCCTCTTGGCTGCAAAGGGCAACGAGGTCAATGTGAGACAGCAGGGTGAGGGGTGTAAAAAGCTTACAAAAGCTACAAGTCAACATAAAAGGGAACCCCTTCACTGCTTATGCAACTAAACAGATGGCTTTCATACAACTGGATCCAAACTACTAAATCATACTCGATGGAAACTTTAAAAATAAGTGTTCTGGTAGCTCTCAGGGACTTGTGCAGGAATGACCGAGAGGCATTTTTGCATAGCAACACCTCCCCATCCGTTACCATTTCTGAATCTCTGCAGATGAACAGAGGTTTGGTAAACATTTGATCTGGTGATACAAGTCAATATATCTGACTAGATAGCTTGTGAAGACGTAAATAACTTTTTTTTTCTTTTACATTTTTACTGATATCAAACAAAAATGGCATCTGTCAATTGCAACCTTTACTCTATCACCTACCTGCTCCATGACCACAAAACAAAAACTTTATAACCCCAGAGAACAAGTGGCTAGGAGAATGCCGTCATGCTTTATTTACTTCAAACAACATTAGCGTGCCTGAAACCACTCAGTAATTGCAGTGGGCATTTATGACCAGACCCCCACCAAGTAACGGTGTCTGGCCGACATATGGCGTAGTGCAGACAAAGTCCCTGAAATGGGCTTCCTGCATACTGAAAGTAATTTATGGGGGAGAATCAGAAGTTAGCTAATTAAAAAGGCAGGGAATGAAAATCCTGGTTTTAGTTGATGCCAAGTTTAAAACTAAGCAACAAATCCAAGTACCTGCTTCGTGTACATTTTCTGCTCTGGCCTTGCAAAAGTATAATCCTAATTGTTTTTCATAGATTTAGTCAAGGTTCGAACACAAATTGCAATGCATTTTAATGACATTTTATGGGATGAACCAGAGAAAGGTATTGCTTAATGGTGATAGAGAAGGAAACATAAAAATTGATTCTCAATAGGATTTAGGTTTAACTTTGACTGGGTCATTTTGACAAAAAATGCTTTATCTAAACCCTTCCATTGTAGCACTGACTGTGTTTCTGCAGCCTCTAATGCGCTCTCTTCCATAATTCCCTGCATTTAGCTCCATCAATAATTCCATCGACTCTGACCATATTATCCATCTCTTCCAAAATATCTTCCCCACAGGATGATGCTGAAACCACCATGTTTTACTAAAGGAATATGTAGTGTTTTTCATATGCTAAAAAAGTTCAATTGTGGTCTCATCTGAACAGAAGACCTTTTTAATATATTTGTCGTCATTCCTGATTTAAGCTTTTTGAATGCAACATCTTTGTTCCTGCCACCCCGTTAAGTAGAGAACCATATCTTGATCAGTTTGCAGCCATTTCCTACTTTGTCCGTTTCAAATTGGTTTGAGAAACGTTCTTTGAGGTGTTCAAAGTTTTGGATATCGCTTTCCGTGTTCCTTGTTCTTTATTATGCCGTTTGTTCACCAACGTTCTTCAACAAAGTTCAGAGGCCTTCACAAAACAGCTGGATTTATGCTGAGGCAGAGCAATTCTATCTGCAAAGCAACCGATTTATCCGCTAGAAAGTCACATAACATAAGAACTGATCAGATGTATTAGCAAATCGAGCTCTGTGATGATAGAATGGGTGGATCGTCGTTGCTCATCGGTTTGGAAAACAGAAGGTGAAGTTCACTGCTGGGAGGAAGAGGGATGTGTTGTGTGATAAAACGGTTAAAGCAATAAGATCAGGTCGGTCCCAGGGAGGATGTGGCTTAATCGGCTTGGCTAACTGCATGGTCAATATTGGCCTGCAGACAAATGTAACACTACTCTGATCAGACTTAAACAATCAGCCCTAATTAGAAATAAGGGTCAAGTGTTGGTGTGGGCAAATACCCTAAATTAAACACTGATCTACCACCAACTGGCCAAACTCAATCATATGTGTGAAGTTCTTGCACCAGCAGAGTGAAATATGAAGTGCTTTGTATTTGTATCCGTTTAAAACTTTTCCAGACTTTATCATGTTACAATAAATGACTTCAATGTACTGAACAGGATTCAAATAGTGTATAATCGAGAAGTGGGAGGAAAGCGATACAAGATTTGATGAAAAGCGTGGAATTCATTTGTATTTAGTACATTTAAGGCGATATTTAGTCAGTCACCTTTAACTCAAACACTTTTGGAGTACATTGATGAAAGTCCTGCATGATATAAAGAAAGCATTTTGTTGAATATTGTGATGTGCTTCCAAGAGGCCAGATTCATTGTTGGAATGCAAAATTTTATTGCATAGTCCTTGATATAATATAGACTACCACACATTGCATCCAAACATATTTCTGTTTGATACATATCGTGCAGCTTTAATCTCCATCAGATTCCCACATCTAGAGAATGTTTTGCTTTTCTTTTTTTACCCATTCTGCTTTGCAAAAGAGGTTGAGCTCAGGGCAAGTGAATAGAGGGATGAATGAACAACAGCAACTGGATTTAGGTCTGGACTAACATGAATGTTGGTTTAAGATTGTTCTAATGCCAGATATTGAACGTCTAATGCAGGGGTGCCCAAAGTCGGTCCTCGAGGGCTGGCATCCTGCATGTTTTAGTTCTCTCCCTGGTGATGGTAACAACCTCCTCATCAAGTCAGTGTTCTGTTTAGACCTTCTAATGAGTCATCATTTGATGCAGGTGTGTAAAACCAGGGAGATAACTAAAACATGCAGGATGCCGACCCTTGAGGACCCACTAGACCAGGGCATCCCTGGTCTAGTGGGTTTTCTTTCAGTATTGTCATTTATTTCATTTCATACGTTTCCATCAATTCTAGCCAACTTCTCTTTCTGCTGAAGAAGCGTGCTCACAAAATGATTCGGCCACCACTGTGTTCCACCACTGGTGCGTCACAAATGCATGCCACACTTCTCAGATATTTTTTTGGGAAAGAAGTTTTAACTCCAAGCATTCTTCAGTCATTCCGTTATGGACATTAAGGTGAATTTGAAACATAAGATACAAGTAGATGCCGATGTGGTGGAGATGGTGTAAGAAAAAGAAAAAAGGAAGCGTCAGACTCACAAGGCACTGCGTGACGGTACAGGTTTTCTCGGATGGTCTGCTGCAGTTCGTGGTCAGGTGATGACTTTTGGAAGCGCTGGCTTAGATAATGCTTCAGGTCCTTATTCAATTTTGTTCCTGTCAAAAATAGACAAAAATAAACATGTTGGTGCATGAATTCAACTAATGCAAAAAACAAGCAAAGCAGACCGATATCATGAGAGCCAAAATATTACAGCTACTCCACAATTATGTGCTAAATGACCAGAACATTTGGCTCCCACCAAATGAAGTGAACAAGTTGATCCCGCTAAGTTGCAGCGCATCGCTGTGACCTGCACGCTTGCTATCGTCCCACAGAGGGATGACCGCTTGTAAGCCGTTTCTCCTACCAGCTTGGGACGGGCCAAAATCAAAACTGCTAGCAGTAAGGCTAACACCACGACGCAGCCCTCCCACAGCTACGCCATCTGGACCTCAGACACACATTAGGCTACTGAGGGGCAGTGTGACTGGAGAAGGTCCATGTGTGCGTCTAGTGTGGTTTTATTTTTATTTTTTTCTTCTGATCTGAATGAGTGCGCCCACTTCTCTGGCAGAGCTTAATGTGCAAACACAGCACAAAAACAATGTGACAACATAACAGACGAAAACAATGAGGGTGGATGCAGTCAGTCAGACAAGAAAAAAAAAAAGGTGGCCTGTTTAGCGAAAGAAAGAGGAGGGGGAGCTTCATCTAAATTCACAGCAGCTCATCACTTTCTCCTGTATTTTAATGTGTCCAATTATTTAGTGTACAAATTATTTATCTCCCATCTTTGCGTGGCTGCTGAGAACAATTTTGGTTGTCTGGGGCGCACAACCAGTCGTAAAAAGGCCCTGGATCCTGTTTCCATGGAAACTGTGTGCATATGTGTGAGCAAGTGTGTGTGTGTGTGTGTGTGTGTGTGTGTGTGTGCGTGTACGTGAATGTGTATAAATCCGATGATTGAGATTGTTAGCACAGCACAGAAGAGCATTCTGCACTGGTTGGCAGATTGATGGTAGATTTATGTAATAAGTGACAACTGAAGCCCATTGAGCCCAATTTATAGATATAATAACTACTTTCAGTTTAAAAAAAAATATTGTAATGGAAATTTTATTTTAGTGACATTGGTGTCTTCAAGTGTTTAGTTAAGATATTAAATTCACTTCTTAATGATGTCTGTGTTGAAAGCTCGACTGCCGCTTTGTTAATGCATTTAATGAAATTAAACATTCATTTGAAAGCAAATCTCTAAAAACAAACTGCAACTAATAAATTGTTGAGCAAAATCTATCAATTTTTTGCCCCTTCACTAGCCAGCTTAAGACTCAAAAATCAGCTCATAGACCAAAACGTTCACTCTTCATAGTGAAAGTTGTTACCGAGCGCAGAACGCTAATTTAGTTACGTTTTTGAGCAGCAATTCTCCAGAACTGGAAAGGAACAAATTGGATTTACTTGCATTACAAATTTGGTACCTTTATACGTTTTAAAGTGGTTTGTAAAATCTGTAGTCACTTTTGAGTATTTTTCCATGTGGCTTTCAACCATTACAGAGCAAAAATAGCTAAATAAAAAGAAGAAAAATCTCATTGCATACTACCTTACCATGAAATTGACCGGTATGGGTTTATTGCCCATAGCAGACGCATGTATGACACATTAATGGAGAAAATTGCAAGTCACACCACCTACTCTGTGATTTTAAGTTGCCAGGGCAATACATCATGGCACAACACCAGAAACCATCAGAACAAGATCCACCAAAAAAAACAAAAAAAAAACATTATCTACAGATGAGCCACAAAAATTTATGATCTCTATTATTTATACATGTATTTGTCTACTACTTACTGGACTTGACTTAGCGAGTTGATTAAATATCAATATCATTGTTATATAAAGATAGTACAATATATAACAGGAAAGAGCAGATATTTTTCCACAGAGCAAAACTGACAAGAATGCGTCAAAATCCAAAAGTATTCAGCTCAACACATCTTGTTACAATAATGATTTTAGATACAAATAACTTAATATTTTGGAAAAAAAATCCATCTCAGCCTGTGTTTGCTCATAGATGTGCAAGAGCAACATAACATCAAGGAGGTAAAGCATAGGCTTTAATCCAGTTATGTAGATCTGATCCCTCTCTCATTCACTCCATGTATCCTTATAATGATAAAGCAACATGGCTTTCATTAAAATGAACAGACACCCTTCAAAGTCACGACGGTATGAATAACAAGGTCCTCAAGGACTTCTTCACTGATGAAGGAGGGAGAGGTAATTATGGAGGGATGTGCTGATTAAGTAGATGGCAATATCTGCTGCTCCTCTGTGGCTGCACTCTGTCAATAACACATCAGCAACTGGTGTCAATACCTGGTGTTTAATAATGGTTGTTTCCGATTTCAAAAATGCATACTGATCGCTGGTTCGACTGCAAATCGCAGTTAAGGATTGCGGAGATGAACAAATCTGATAACTAAAATAGCTGGACCTTTATTTTAGTTGGAAACCTCAAGGTGTTACGTGAAATATCCCTCTGGATTCGCTTTCCTTTAAAAAAAATGTTTTACCTTCATCACAGATAAAACATTTGGTACCTGGGGTTCAAACCGAAATGCTGGAATCTACTAGCGGTGCAAGGCGCAGCCAGCTCAAAAGACGAGACGCTACACAATGCTGGCTTTACAAGAACAAAGGGAGATTTTAATATCCATGGCTCATAATACTTAGAAGGGTGGCTGGATAAATTGCTACTTTAATCCTATTCTCTTTAGAGTTTTACAATGTCAGGGTTTTCTCTCCGTTAACCCTTTATATTTACATTGGTCCAACTTGGGGCAGCAGAAGATTAGGAAAACATCCAATTAAAGGTGCCTTCAGTGTTTGTAAAAAGCGGAAATAAGACCTTTTTCATAACTGTGGAGAAATTTGGATTGAAATAATAATTTAACCACAATAAATTTGTTTTTTGAGCTTTAACGGCCTAGTTGGTGTCTCGCCACAGCATTTGAAATGAAATGAAATTTTATTCGAACATGATACAAATACAAATATAAAAATAAAATAGTGCCCAGTAACAAGAAGTGCATAAAAAAGAAGAGGAAATACAGATTTTTTGTTTCAGTTAACATATCATGCTCAAAATGGGGTAGGAAGAAGTGAGAACTTATAAACTCCTACCCCCTAAACACTTGAAACTTTAGAGTCCTACTGTCATTAAACAAATCGAAATCAAAGTGGCAGTCAGAAGTAACAGTTACTAATTTCAATCTGATTTACAAACTATTAGATGAGTCAGTCCATCAATGGGTTCTTTAAATCATTTTGCTAAGCTGGGGGCTCATGTGAAAGTTCACTGCTGCTCCATGTCGTCTCTGTTTGTGGAAAATTGATCTCACTGTGATTTGCTGCAGTTCCAAAGCCTAAGAAATGGTTTTGGATATCCAAACTGATAGGCAAACATCGTCTCTCACCCTTTGTCGAAGAACTCTAGAACTGGCAATAACATGTTTCTTCTTTAGGTCTTTGAGTCGACTTCACGTTGTCAGAGAGGTTCTAGTTGAAACGTGACAATAAAGGGAAACTATGTAAGGAAGCAAGAACTTTTTCACACTGTGGGTAAATATTGTTTCATTTTGAATAATTATTATAAGGAATTTATAAAAATTCAAGAGATCCATGAAACATTTATCCAGATTTATTATCTTGGGGGTGACTAGGACCACAAAATGTTCCTTGGCTGTTGTTAAACCAGCCATCAATTTGACCTATCCTATGTAAACCTTAATTTCATAAGTCATTCATTTGTGGACTTCAAGAATCTCAGTACTCCCTTCAAGCCAATAGAAAAGGGGTGTTAAAATATAAATTCTCTAACCGTCTACAGCCTAGCAACAACTTAGATCTGGATCTCAATCCAAACAAGTTAAGCAATTTAAACTTCACAGTTTAAAGACTCTGATACACATGATGAAGCAAGAGCACATATTGAGCCCTCCAACTGTGAGTTTTTCTAGTATTTAGTTGACCAAACTCTTCAAATGAAAGTAAAAATTCCAGATGGGAACGTCTTGACTTCTGACTTAAAAATTCCCAGTTTGGGAATGTGACTCAAACATGAAACAATAAACCTTCTCAATACCCATGCCCCACAGCTCCAGGCATCCGTCTGGGTCTGCGACAGAGCACGAGTCATTTTTCCTGAAATCAAGTGAATCTCAAGCAGGAAGAAGGGTGGGATCTGGAGAACATTTGGCCCCAGTGACCACCCACCCGATATCCCCCTCGAAAAACAGATAATTAGAAAAGACATATCCTTCAAACACAGCCCACCTGGTATAGATTTTCCATAAGCCCGCCGCCCCCAAAACAAGCACGGTTTTGGAAGCGAGACATACAATCCTCGACAGAAGGGAGGTTTTACTTGAGAGAAACGGAGAGGGAGGCAGAGGCTGTCACACAGAACGAGAGCATCAGAGGGAGCCAGACTAAACATCAAAAGCGCTTCAGACAGCGAGAAAAAGCGGAAAGCCCCCGCTACTTTCCAGGCATCTCCCATCGAGCCCACCCTAGCGTCCCTGGGCTCTGATCAGCCATCCAAGCCCCTGTTCAGACATGCATAGCCAGACCGGGCACTGGCTGGATCTGCTGGCACCTGACATCTGTGTTCACGCTGGAGAAACATATAAACTTCAATGAAACTTGAGCTAACTGCTCGCAGGGCAATTATAGTAACAATGGGAAGCTTTGACGGCTTGCTGCTGATTTGAAACTGGAAGGAGTTAAGGGGAATAGACCTTTGACATTCCACCAAGACTTGTTATTGCCTACCTTGATATTTAACGCCTCTCGCTACAAAAGTGTCTTTGTATGCACTGAATGCATAGCATGACAGGAAATGGATGATATTACTGTAGCTTGCCTGACCTGGACGCTGGGATTGGGCGGGAATAGTCCAACACCAGTTACAACAAAATCCAAAGATTCAAGACACCTCCATTAAAAATGTAGTTATTTTTTTAACAAATGCTTATCAGTTTTTCTTTCTTGCTTCCAGAAAAGACAAAAAAACATAATTGGAATTAATCAAAAAATACAT